GGGGGGGGGGGGGGTTGGGTGTGATGTTGAATCATTTTGAATGGCAACCTAGCCCAGAACAAAACAAAACTACTCTTGATTATTAGACACAAATACCGATAACGTAAGCAGACATAAATGGATGGATGTTTTAGGCTTTAACAGATCAAATCCTAAATGGTGTATCTATTTCGACCCAACAAAGCCGAGTTATGATTGATAGAAGCCAACTGTCGTGATTCATTATGTAGATGGAAGTTTTGTTGGTATTTGTTTCTTTTTTTCTTCATTTCTTTCTTCCTCCCTTTCTTTTTTTTTCTTTGTTTCTTTCTTTATGACTCTCTTTCTTTCTTTATCTTTTTAACTAATTGATTATGACCATTTCTTCAAAATGTTTGCTTCAGTCTTACCTATTATGCAAGTTCTGTTCTACTTGTATGATTAGGCTCGTTGTAGAAGTCGTGAGCAGGTTCCCGCACCATGCCCAATTTAGCACAAAATCCTTTCAGTCAGCGGACGTTTTCGCCATACACGAGTACTGAATTACCCTAGATCACGCACTTATACGTAATTCCGGATCATTTTGGAACGCACCGAGAGACCCTAATCGGATCCAAATGAAGGTCCCAAAAAAAGGGGGTGGGGGGTCGTCATTTATTCAACTATTGCGATACTGGTCTTTTGCTCTTCAGTTGGGCGCCCATAGAGTGCACGCTTCACAGCGAAGGTTTTGTCAAGAGCGGCGGACGTGAGAGGGTAGGGTATTGCCGTTGATAGAATAATCCAGGTTTATAACAATCACTCAGAACATTAATTGTGTTTCTCATTTAGAACCCAAAGCCGCTACTCTGATCCCTACCACAATCGAACAGTTTTCAGGACAATTTCAGGTTCCTTGTATTTGCGCTAAAATACCAGAATTCTCACCTCATCTTTTCAACGTTGAACTTGTCCCAAATCAGAAATTGGTATCCCTTTTCTGCTTTTGTTGACTGTTTTCAGCGCCCTTATAGACACCAACTAAATTATTTCGGAGCCTCGCACTCCCCCCCCCCCTATCTATCTATCTATCTCTCTATATATCCCTCTATCTATCTATCTATCTATCTATCTATCTATCTATCTCTCTATCTATATATCTATCTATCTATCTATCTTTCAGAATGATACCTTACTGAATTTATGCACGAGTCATATAACAAGCTCTTCGGTGGGACAGAAGTTCCTTCGCAAACTCCTGAAAACTTCAACTTGAACAAGTTCGAAGTCAAAGCTCTTTTGTCTTTATCTCTCTCCACTTCTTCATTGTATGTTACTCTGTTCATAAAACTTCTAATCTTCGGTATTTGTGTTACCTGTTTTGTTAAAAGTGATGTAAAACGCCAGCTAAAATTAAAACTAAGGTCAAAACAGCAATAGCATTTGATTAATACCTCCATGGCATATTACATGTCTTATGAAATTATATTGAACATAAATTATAATACATCCAACTGTGTAAGGTCACAACTTTCTCCTAGACAATGGGTAGGCACCGGGGTAATTTCTATCCGTCTATCTATCTGTCTATCTATTATCTATCTATCTATCTATCAGGATGATTACTATCATAAAAGTGTAAGCACCCGTTGCTCAGGATGAAGAGTTCAAATCTGAGCCAAAGAGGTCATACACGGAATAATGCAAAATGCATAATATATAACCTTTTTTGAGCTGAGCGTTTAGGTATTTGTGTGTGTGTGTGTGTGTGTGTGTGTGTGTGTGTGTGTGTGTGTGTGTGTGTGTGTGAGAGTGTGTGTGTGAGTGTGTGTGTGGGGGGGGGGGGGGGGGATCACTAAGTTGCGTGCCCTTGAGCAACAAAGTGTAACCCAGCTCACAAACAAGGTGTTGCACGGCCGGTAATGTTGATTGGATTATTTGTTTTTGTCACATTCTGTGGTTTCTTTATGCATTTTACATATTAATGAATTGTATGTTTGTCTCCGTAAACCAAATTTTGCAATGGACCAAATAAAGTGATTTTTACTTATATTTTTATTATTGTTTCTTTTAAGTCGATAAAACAGCAAGGCTATCCTCAATGTGTCGTCACTGTAGTGGCAATCAATAGAGAAATACGGGGGTTTGAGCATCATCATCAGCATCATTATCATCATCATCATCATCATCATCATCATCATCATCATCATCATCATCATTTTTTGGTAAGCAGGGTAGGAGGGAGAGTCTTGTTTTAATTTTAGACAAAAATAAAATAACAATATAAAATGTTTAAATTTGTTTAATAGCTCAACGTTTCGCCCTGTGGGCTTCCTCAGGAGCAACTGAGAGAAAAACTAAACGAGCGCTGTATATTAGCAGGGAAATGGGCCTAACAAAGGGGGTCATAGGGTTACGTGTGGTTACAGGCTAGACGGAAGTGACTAAGTGGGTGAAAGGCCAAGAGGCTAATTGTAAAGAAATTGATGCTAGTCATCAAGGATATCAATTGTATCTCTACGAGAGGCTGACAGGAAGTTAATTGTATGAACGTGTCACGAAAGAGGAAATGTATAGAGGCATCCCAGTTGGAGGCAAAAGGAGGAGACAGAAGAAGGGTGTGTGTGTGTGTGTGTGTGTGTGTGTGTGTGTTGACCGCAGTCCAACAAAGAGAGTAAGTCACTTATCGTGAATGTCAGAGACATCATCAGCCCTATCCTCATGCCGACATTAGGGCAATGCCACGCTTCTGACAATCATATCAACGGCTAATCGACGTAGTTACTTCGAGATCTAGTGTGAGAAAAAGCGTGACATCTATAGAGCACTTTTAGTACTCCAACAGATTTTGACATGTCCCACTGATC